CCACCTCCTTAATATCAGGAAAACCACCATTGATGTTCTCCTTCTCCTTGTCCCTCTCTGCCTCCACCTGAAATCCACCGTTCCCCACCTGAAAACTGCCGTTTTGCTTGAAAACCACCGGATTCTTGGCCTGGAAGGACCTGACCGACTTCCTGACCATGAAATCGCCGGATTCAGGCCTGAATTGGAGGGTGAACCTAGGACTTGCTCTCCCCAACAAACTGAACTCGACAGCCATGGACAACGGGGACCTCTCAGGCGAGCCCCATAACCCTATTCCAGATTTGATAACAAACCCAAAGGGGTTCCATGAATCGTTAGGGCTATAAGAGGCTTTAATGGCTGGGCCAGCGGACCAAGCCGTTCTCAGGTGTAAGGAGAGCTCCTCTGAATCTCCTGCTTCAATTCCCGAAATAAAGGGAACCCCATGAACACTCACTGGGATCTTTGCCCTAACCAGAGGCATCTGACCTTCTCTGAGCTTCAAAGAAGCCTTCATGGCTCAGAGAAAGATCCCCAAAAACCAGTACTTGAATTAGGTGGAGAACCTGGTACCGGAAACTGGTTCCTGCGATTTTAAAGATAGGGATTAGGGCTTTTTTAGTGAGAGAAAATGGAATTGGGAAGTGAAACACTCGCTTTTTTAGTTTTTTAGGGAGAGAAGATGGATTTGGGCGGGGCGGGCGCATACCCTCACATGTACGTCAATGACATGCTCTAATGCAATGAGCTTTCGTAAGTTTTATAACAGGCTTGGGGTATTTTTGTCACATTTTGATTTATCAATCAATGAATTAATAATATAGGGAAAATCTAATAATATTTATAATAGGCATCCAAAATAGCAAAAAGTCCAACAAAAAAGCAACGGAAACGTTTCTATCTCACGTTTCACGTGTGCGGTCTCTCTCTCACTCACTTTCCCTGGGAACACATGGAACATGCTGATGGCAGTTAATTGCACTCTCATGCATTCAAGCGAAAAGATTTCAATCAAGAAAAGAAATGGTTATACAGAAAATTATAAAAGATTAATAATTCTGTCTGCAAAGGGGTTTCCACATACAAAGAATATCTAAGCGTAATGACTTGCATAATGCATATAAAATTAAGTTGAACTTGTGAAAAGAAAGTATATATTGTATATCAGGTTATCATGGAAGGTGTATATTGTAATCAATATATATGGAAAAAGCGATATCATATCTTGTATTGTATAGTAATTTTAGGTATATTATGAGTGTTTATGATTTAATTTCTATTATTGTCATTTATAATTTATCTATAAAAAATAAGTCTGTATATTAATATGTTTAATATACTCTTCACAAAACTTTATATCTTTTTTATTTTTTTCTTTTTCTTTTTCTTTGTGAATAGCAAGATCCAAATTGGCAAAACAAAAAAGAAACACAAGCAAACGAAAGCACGGAAGGGGCTTTTAAAGCCACCCAAAATCCAATTATCAGAAAATAAAAAGCTACCAATCTGACAACTTTCAAGATTCCGTCAGTCCTCACAAATTTTCTTGTAACAATGGAAAAAGAAATCTACTGGTCTTCTTCTTCTTCCTCCTTTCTTTTTATGCTGGCCAAGGAATGAATTTCAAGAAAAATTAATCGGGTATGCATACTAATGAGATGAATATCCCCAGGTTAGTCAAGCCTACATGCACTTGTGGGAAAACTCAGAGCAACAAGCATATCCAGCACAGCTAGAAGTCAGCCTAAATATAGAGAATGGTAAAACCAAATCGAGTAAGAGGATGCATGAATTGATAAAGAGGCCTCTGCTTGATTTGAACTTGGACTAAAAAAAAAAGAACGTCTGCTTGATCCAGAAGATTCTCGATCTATAAAATTGGAAAAAATATCTTCATATATCTTATTTTTAAGTTTCATTTCACAATAGACCCAATATTTTAAAAGATAACTTGGATTTTATTCCCCTTGAGGTAATTTAAACCTGTTTTTTTAGGCCAAACAAATTTAAAAAGGCATGTATTTTCTAAAAGTCATCTTCTCAAACTTCTAGAGAGAGAGAGGAGAGAGAGAGAGAGAGAGAAAGGTTTCATGGAGGTGATAGGCTATTGAGAGAAGAGAGAGAGATGTGTTTGGAAAAACACAGGAGGAGAAAGAGAGTGAGACACATGAAGAGAGAGATAGAGAGAAATTTGAGGTATATAAGTGAAGAGAGAGAAATGATTGGGTTTAGATAGAGCATGTATTTCACACATTTATTTAGGTTAAAAAATATGTTTAAAGTTGCCAGGGGGTTAGAAGACATTTTTAAAAACCTTGAGTTTATCAATAAATAAAACCTAAAAATAAGAGATATGGAGATATTTTCCCTATAATAATATCAGCGAAAGTGGGGTCTTATTAAGTTCTAACCATTTATCATGCTAGAAAAACTATCCTGAAATAACCCATGATCCATCTAGAATTCCTTGGACCATACACCAAAATTCATTCTCTTTCCATGTGTGGGAAACATTGGTTCTGGGATCAAAAGTATGTGATAATGAGGTTTTACCAACCATCAGTCCTACACAATGACTATCGAAGTATGAAGCTCCATCAAACTTTAGCCAAACAATCCAAATCAGTATTGTCGTTAGTATCTCTAGCTTATCAATCCCAGACATCCTCATTTTGGCATGCAAGCCTGCTTCGAAGAAACTCAAGAAGGTCTATTTAATTAAATATTGCCCCGGTTCACCTGAACAGAGGAATTTCAGGCTGAGGGACTCTATATGGCTCCCCCATAAGATGAAAGAGTGACAGACATCAAACAAGCAAGGCTTAGATCTATACAATCAAGTGAATTTCAACTAAAAACTATTTGTTGTGTACAGCTATAGCTCATCATAACCTAGAACTCAGCAGCAAACAAATTGTATGGCAAAAGACAATTACCCAAGAAGTCCAACTGCCAACTACTGCTACAAACCATGCATTTTCAAGCGGTGCTCGCATTAAGTATATAAAAATGAATATATGGCACAATTTGAACTCATGATCCCATATGCTAAAACATTCACCTGCAATACCCGTGTCCAACAAGTTTTACAACTTATCCAGAAATCCTCATATCATTGTTATGAAACAAAAGATACATGAGATATAAAACTATACACATAACAACACAGAAATGGTGTAACACCATTAAATCGAAAAGCAAGACTTCTCGAAGTACACAGAGACAACACATAAAATGCATTGGTTTACACAAATCATCCCCCTAAAGGGCAAATCCAAGTTATGGGGGATGTTGACTCCGATTTGGGTAGTTTTTCATTCTTATGGGTGCATGTTCACAGTTCAGCATTTCTCAAACAAATAAGCTTAGAGGTGTTCCTAATTGCAGGACTCAGTTATTGACAAACCATGACAAAAAGGATCAACAAGAAGGCTAACTGCGAGAGATGCGACCTGATGTACCAAAACAGATCCACAGGAAAGCTACACAGGGAAAACAAAACTCAATTAGGGACTTCCATTGGTTTTTCACCATGTAGCATGCAAGGTCTTTTGATCCTCGAGAGCAGCTCCCCCTGTAACATGGCGAGTTCTGCCTTCAGCGACAAAGAAGGAGCTCATGGCTCTTTTGTGAGTAATCCACATAGATTCATCCACACCAACCTCCCTTTCTCAAGTGTTCTATAGGAGGATGGTTATGAAACCAAATGGGAGAAAGGGCAATATTCGTAGTAATTTGCCATTGGGGGCTTCTTTATATTGTACATGCATTTGCCAACTTGGCCTAGAATATTTCCCAGGAATAAACTCCAGAGGTATTGAAGGTTTTTGCTGGTCCAATGCATATTCGCCACTCCACCAAGTCAAAGCCATGTGCCCCTTTGACAAGCCTCAGTGTATTATCCTAGTTTTTGTCAAGGAATTCTAATGGAAGGTGCCTAGCTACAAGTTGCTGCGAGGGACCAAGAGATGACATTTCCAAATGGGAATACAAACCTGATGAATGAGATACTTGAATTTAGCCACTCATTCGTGACATCCTTCAACCACACTTTCATAAACATCAATGAGGTGGCCGAACTGTTAACTAAACAGGGAGTGAATGGAGATGCCCTCTTCCTAATAGAATTTTCGAATCACATGTCAGTCACAAATATCATGTGCATTAGGTTTTATGTTGTCATGCATTCAATAACTGCTCAAATCTAGAGTTTGGAGATTAATTCACTTAACACTATGAGCATGGCTTGTAATAGCAAATTTGGTGTATCAGAAATTTAATATGTGGACACACAGATATCCATGCATTGCCATTCAACTGCAATTCTATAATAAATGTTGTATCTGTAGGTTTGATCGCGGATTGCCACTTTACAATGAATAAAAAGTGTAAACATTGAACATTGATTCCTTTGCATGAGCAAGATCTTGATATACGTCAATATGAAAACCATAAACTTGCATTTCTAAGTGATATATATACTAAATAAATGGTAAAAGCCAGTATTTTAAAACCCAACAATTTCTGATCTGGATCGCCGATCCCAATGAGAATCAGTAGGGACCGAACCAGTTCCGGGATGGTATCGGTCCCAGCCTAACCAACCCCCACCCCCCCCCCCTCCCTCCCAAAAAAAAAAAACCTTTTAAATATTTTTTTCCTTTTTTTTTAAGCTTATCTAATGTTTTCTTAGGTCCCCTCTAAATCCACACTCCATAAACCCCTATTTTAATGTGTATTTATTTCATTTATTTTTTGGATCACCGATTTGGACCGATTCATATCCGATATGGATCAACGTTCCAACACAGATCTATGAGTGAATGATCCACCCCACCAATCCACGTTTTAAAACACAGGTAAAAACTAACACATGATGCAAGGAAACATGACAGAATTATTACCAACGACATCAATGCTCAAGACCTCGTCCATCTGCTTGATCTGCTTATACAGACCAGACTCCTTGCAGGGTATAAGAATCGGTCCAATTGGGAATGAGGCAAGGGTCATCCCCATGAATGATGTAACCAATTTTGTATTCATCAAAGTGTTAATACATAAACTATTCCATGATTGCATAAGGAGAATCACGGATAACCTTTCTCTTTCGTCTTCTTTATCTCCACCCACCAATCTCTATCTCTCTCTATCTGCTCCACCTCTACCTATCTCTGACACCTCTCTCTCCTTCTTTATCATTCTATTTCTTCCCCCTCTTCCTTTTTTTATCTATCTCAGATGCTTTTTGTTTTTGCTTGCAGTCTACCTCTCGTGGGCTGTTGATAGAGACTTTTTTCTATTGGTTCTTTTAGGCTTGCACTTTGGAACCCTTATGTATATTTGAGCACCCCGTTTGTGGGTTGCCGAATCAGGGATTTTGTAAACTTTATGTTATAGTAATTAAGTCAACCGCTTCTCAAAAAAAGCCGATGGGATAACCTCATCAACCCATTTCACAGCTGTCACCATTATCATCCTGCAAAGGCACACCAAAAAACTTCAACATATACTTGAACATTGATCATCAGGGACACCTCGAAACAAAATGCAAAAGTAATTGTGCTACATTTAATTAAGATTCCAAGGTATCAAATTTATTAGAAAGAAGAGTTGCATCAAAAACTACAAATAATAGTGTGAAGAAGGTATTTATGAATTAGTAAATAACTTAGCAACCAGATTCAATCACTGGCAGGCTCATAATTTTGACAACATTGAGGTTGAATAACAAAATAACATCTTAAATAACATATAAATGCATAATTGTAGTATTCCAAATATATTCATTGTTTTTTCTGTTGCCAAAGACAACATATCCCTTCTTTTATCCTTAATTTATATTGTCATTAATTCAAATCTTCACCATTCATTTGTGAAAACCTGTCATTGTGTTCAACAAAATCCCAGTGAATAAACAGCTCCAGAGGATATCTTTTACTCGATTTATTACTGGTATTATTTTCACGTCCACCAATTTTCTTACCAATTTTCTTATTTACCTACTTCTTAGCTGCATGGTGCCCCAATTTTTTATATTCTTGTATGCTGGAAATAACAAAATAAATCATTTTAAGTTTGGAGTAAGTATGATTTTAAGTTGGAGTAAGTATCTCATTTCAGAAATTAGATTGCTATCACTAACACTATGGAATAGAATAATAAAAAGAGAGCTAGTAAGGTTCATCTATTAATGCATCCTGCAAAAGAAATAGAGCATGCATTTATTTTTTAATGCTGAAAAACAAATATAGTATACACTTTACTCTGTAAGGAAATATGGAGGTCATTCACTCCGTTCATACTTCATCAAGAAGGCAGCACTAGATTCATTTCCTTAATTCATTCTACTGTTGAGAAACATCATCATAGTGACAACAATCAATAACAACAATAAATAATAAAGGCAATGCCGATCACAATACTCACATATGAATGAAATATAAATAGAAGCGCATCAATTAACAATTTACAATTTTACCGAGCCAAATTGTAAATCTCAATTACCCACTTACCATGAGGGGAATAACAGGGGGGCCCTTGTTCACGATCACCTCTGTAATGCTGAGCACACCCATGACAAGCTGGTCCCCAAGAGCACGGGCCTGGCATAAAGCACAACAGTGGCCAGAATACATCCTATCGAAGCATCCATCCATTTAAAACTTAACTGGCTTCTTCTCCTTCTTTTTCTTTCCCTTTAAGAACTCAAACAAGAATGTAGAAGTAGACGAGGGGAAATCAAAACAGTAGATGTTTACAATCAAATTATTTTCAGCTAAAAAATGGATCTTCTGTCTGCAGCTACTGGTTGCCATAATCTCAAAGTCAGCAGCAGACAACTTCCATGGCAAAAGACAATACCCAAGAAGGAGACAAATGGTTCCAGGCCCTTTTAAACCATAGAAGAAACAAACTCTTAGGCTCAACCGCTGACTGGAAGCTCAAATCTAGGTGCTAGTGACTAACATCTAAGAACTCACTGCAGCGATTCTGGATGATAATTGCGATGCAATTGAGTATTGGTTGCTACTGTAGCATGCATTTGCAAATGCCGCAAAAGTGATTGAATTTGGTGCTCCACCTTCATCCAAGAACTTGTGAAAAAACCCATTTGCAGCATCCACGTGACTTTCACTAGAGAGCTTTCTAATAAGAATATTCACTACCCGAAACCACAACCTCTTCTCCAACTTTTCCAAGACACCCATGGTATCTTCAACCCCTTTTTTCACACAATACTCGTATGCTATGGTGACACAAGTAACCTCACATGGAATTAGTCCCTTTTCCATCATTGCATGAAAGATAGAGATTGCTTCCTCCAGTCGCGACTCTTTACACAGCCCGCTAATGAGTGCACCATAAGTGACTGCATCAGGTAAGCAGCCTTTAGCAGTCATCTTCTGAAAAAACTTCAATCCAGAGCTTGTGTTTCCGTCTCTAGAAAATCCACTTATCATAGAAGTATAAGTCTCCTTGCTAGGGACCAAACCCATCCTAAGAGCTTCATCGAATATTCTCTCACTAATTTTAACCTTCCTTTCCTTGCAAAATGAGGTGATTAGCATTGTGTATGTGTGTATATCTGGTAGAAAACCCTCTTCAATCATTCGACCAAACAAGGCCAAAGCAAGTCTGGTGTTAGATCTCTTCAATTGTTCACTCATAAGTATGGTATAGGTGACATGATCAGGTTTAAGCCCTCGCTTGAGGCCAGCTTCAAGAAGATTATATGCCTCTCCTGCCTTCCCTTTTTTGAGAAGCCCATTGATTATGGCATTATAGGTAGATATATTTGGATCGAAGCCTTCCTGGACCATAATTTCCAGTAAACTATAAGCACTGCTGAAATTCCCTCCTTTACAGTACCCATCAATCAAAGTAGTATATGTCATGGTGTTTGGAACCAGTCCTTGCTCTCTCATTCTCTCTAAGAGCATTTCGGCTCGACCCATCTTATTCTCCTTGCAATAACCCCCTATCATGGAGGTATAGGTCTGAACATTGGGCTTGTAACTCTCACTCCTAACAAGTTTCAGGAACAATCTAAAGGCTTTCTCTGTCCACCCCTTCTTGCATAGCCCATTGATCAGAGTGGTGTGAGTATAAACATTGGGTTTGTGGCCCTCGGCAACCATTCTCTCTAAAACTTCGAAAGCTTGCTTAACTCTCCCTCTGATGCACAGGCCATTGATAAGAGCTGTGTAGTTTATCACGTTTGGGGTTAAACCCATCTCTGGAACCTTCTCGAAAAGCCTGAAAACTCGACCCTCCAGGCCATTTTCACAGTAAGCATTCACAATTAGGGTAAATGAAGCAGCATCTAAGGAGCACTTGTTCTCCTGCATAGTTCTTAAAACGTTTTCTAATTCAGCAATCTTCCCTTCCTTGCAGTAAACCCTAATTATGGGTTTGAAACTGCAAACGGTTGGGTTGACCCCATTGTCTCTCATCTCTGAGAATGCGTATTTGACCAAATCATCAAACCCCAATTTATCTGCAACTTTGAGAATCCAATTCATGGTGTGTAGATTGAGAGGAAGACCTTGGTTCCGCATCTCAATAACCATGTCTATGGCGTCTTTCATCTTCCCTGCACTCCCAAAATTACTAACCATACACCTCATAACTTCTTGGGCTCTCTCTAAATTACCAGTAGTTATTAAAGAGGCAGCCATTGTTATGTACAGGCGCAAATGGAGCATGAATTCTTGGTGCCCAATGGCCCAATAGAAGAAGCTCAAGGCCATCATGGAACCCCCTTTCTCTGAAAGCATGAATATTACCGTAACTGCTTGTTCTGGACTCAGTTTAGGAGAGAGAAGAGGCACAGAACAAAGCCTTTTGTCCCCTTCTTCATAGGTTTTATAAACTACATGACACATTCTTCTCACAATATCTGGTGGGTTATCAGGAAAACCCCCCTCGCTGTGTTGAGCAAACGGTGGGGGGAAGTGAGAGAAAGTAGAGAGAGCTTTTAGCCATGGTTTTGTAGAGATTACGCGAGATAAAGCAGTGAGAGGTGATTTTGTAAATGGATTTTTTGAGATGTTAGAGAAAGCAATGAGAGTTTTGAACATGGTTTTTTGCAGAGAGTACTAATAGCTTTGAAAAGGGAACTTTTGCAGGAAAAAATAAGAGTGATTTGTTGGTAATAGAGGTGAATAATAGGGGATCGAAGAATCACAAGATGAAGTACCATTCTTTGCGCTCAAGAGAGAGAGACGGCTTTTTCCACTTACAGTCTCGGAATGGTGATTTTAGAGAGAGAGATCTCTAGAGAGAGAGATCTCTCAAATTTTAGAGAGAGAGATCTCTCAAATTTCAGAGAGAGAGATCTCCTAAATTTCCCTCCTCTTTACATCTGCTACTGCAGTTTTTCACCATTTTCTTTGTTCTTTTTCCCCTGAATTTCGATATATCCTCATCTTTTCATCTGCTATTTGCAGTTTTTCACCATTTTCTTTATTCTTTTCCCCCTGAATTTCGATTCCCCCTCTTTTCATCTGCTATTTAAAGTTTTTCACCATGTTCTTGGTTCTTTTTCCCTTGAATTGAAGTAGCCAACTTTCTTTTTTTCGCGAAATAAAAAATGCCATAGTCCTTCGGGAGGCACTTACTCCATGGGCAGAAAATATGGAATATTTCAGGAATCATGGGATAAAAGTGGGGTACTTAGATCCAACAACCATGTCTGTATCTACAGAGATGATGAAACCATTATTCTTCACTCTTAATATTCATTCATTTCCATGCTAGGTCCATAGCAATAAAAAAAAATGTAAAACATTGTTTTAGCTTTTTTTATTATTTATATATATATATATATATATATATATATATATAATCGTGTTCCTATAACACCCTCACACACCTGAAGACTATACGACCCAATCCACAATCGTAGGATCTCATTCGCATCTAAATTGAATGTCAGGTAACCAGGTCAAGCAGTAAACAACTTCACTTTTCTCTAACCCTTCTCTTCTCTCTTACCCACCCGTTGCACTTTCTACCTCTCTCTCATTTCCACTCAAAAGCCCCCATCTCACATTCTACCTCTCTCTCATTTCCACTCAAATGCCCTGTTGTAACTAGGCAAGGTATTTTTCGTTGTGCTCTTCTCATCCCCACACAACCCGACTTTCCATTATGTTAAAATTAGTGGGAGTATATATGGAGATAGAAGAAGAGAGAAGAGATATAACACAAGATAATGGAGAGAAGAAAAAGTATATATAGATATAAAATAAGAGAGAAGAGAGACAACACAAGATAATGGAGAGAGAAGAAAAGAGATAACACAAGATTTACGTTGGTTCAGGCCAGAGCTTACGTCATACGGATCCAAAGTCCAATAACTACATCTTCACTATTTGGATAAAAATTACACAAATATGTGTTTCTATATATAAATAACAATCATAATCAATCATAAGAGATAAAAGTAAATTATAAGAAGCTTTATCATCAAATAACAACTTTAATGACCAAGTAATTTGACTTTTTCTCTTAATACTCCCAATTGTTTGGTTTATTATTATCTTTAAGACTATTTAACAAACTTGATGATCAAATAATTTGACTTGGTCTCCTCATATCTTTAATACTCCCACTTGTTGTTCTATTATTATCTTTAAGACTCCCCTCAAGTTTTGGAAGGTTTTTTTTGCTTGGCCCTTTCGTTGGGATGATTTCTTTTGTGTGGCACTTGGGCCGTCGTCGAGATGTTTTCTTTTGCGTGGCACTGGGCAAGAGGTTTTATTTTGTAGAGCACAACACTTTGGGCCTAGAGGTTTTATTATACGGCATTTCTTTTACGCGACGCAATATTTGGCCCGACTGACCACAAGTTTTCTTTTGCACCACAAAGCACTTGGGGCCGAAGGTTTTTCTTTTCACCTGCGGGAGTACGCTGGAAGCGCTGAAGGTTTACATCGATGTCAAATGGAATGTTTCGCACGTGTAACGCACTTGGGGCCGATTTTTCTTTTCACCTGCGGGAGTACGCTTGACGCGCTGAAGGTTTCCATCGATGTCAAATTGAGGAATGTTTCGCACGTGTAACGAAGGCATCGAAAGCTCAGCGAGATCGCACGTGGCGTTTAACTGCCCGCGATTGACCCTCTCTTCCCCCGGTTCTCTCTCTCTTACTTCCCCCCAAAATCTCTCCTCTTTTCCTGTCACCAAAGAAAAGGCCTCAGCAAACATTCCGCAGACCTCCCTCATTTCTCGCTCTGCCATACCATTTGTCGTTTCTCTCTCTACACTTGTGATAACGACAAGCTGTTCTCTCTTTCTCTCTAATATCTGCTTTGTTGTTTCGCTCTCTCATCCCATATTTCCATCCGTGTTCTCGTTCTGTCATTATCTTCTTTCACTCTTTCCACCGCAAACATTCCCGGAACTCTGGGTTATTTTCTCTCTCTCTCTCTCTAAAATTTCAGAAGCTTCCTGAAAACAGAGCCCTGTTCTTGCGGGTCTCCCTTCCAAACTCTCCATATCGCCAAACTTCAGTACTATCTCTCTTTCAAACACTTCTCTCTCGCTCTCTCTCGATATCTCTATATACAACTGAAAGGTTCCATAAAAACCTGCTGTGCTTCGTTAAACCATGGCAGTTATCAGTCCTCGGATTCATGTCCCTGCGTTGAAAATCCCAAACTCTTCTCAGGGAAGGCCCTTTGCAATTGATAACTCTTGCGGGCTCTTGCGTGATTTCAGCGCAGTTTCCCCTGAAACGAGATCACTGATAATTAAGGATGGCGGCAAGAGGTATCTGAGCAAAAGATTGAATGTCAGTTCCATGAAGATGGCTGATAGATATCAATCAACTGACCAGGTTCCAACCCGTGATCCCTCAGACCATGTAAGCTTGCTTTCTTGCTTTGTGTTTTTTCTCGAGTTCCAATCTCTGTTTATTTCAGACCAAAGATGTAGTTTTGAGTAGCAGTTACTGGTTATTCACTTTCAATCTTCTTTTAATTTCATCCACGGGCTCGCCATTGTTGTTTTATGTGTTTGTTATCTCTCCATTGTCTTTCAGTGGCCATCTTCTTTTGATTCAAATTAGGATTACTCCATTGTTGTTCACTGGTTCTCTTCCTTTAATCTAAACTGGTAGAACCCATTATAATCTGAAAATGCAGTAGAAATTTGGGGCTAAAGGACATCATCAGCTATATCTCACTATTTTTTTTGTTTTGATTTTGGGAAATTGGAGCAGTCGTTCATCAGCAGATCAATTGTACAGAGAGAAAATTTGAAGCATAGTCCATATTTTATACGGGGATGAGATGAAGCGTAGTCCATATTCTTCATGGGAATGGGATCCCATTGAAGCTTAGTTGATATTCCAAATGTCTATTAACATGAAATTGCATAAGATTCATTATGCTTCTCGATGAATGGCATAAGCTTCTATGACCATCAATTGGTATGCTTTTGTTATGTTATGTGTATTTGCTTATGAGTCAAATAAACTTCACTATAAACTTATTATGACCAGATTCTGAATGTGTCCTTCAATTGGTTCGAGTATTTGGCTAGACTATGGTGGGTCTTTTTAACTACATTTCCTTTTAATATTGGGCCTTTGTAACTACTCACTCAACATTGCCTTGGACTTATAAATGCTGTGGTAGAGGCTCCCTCCATGGGTAACCGACTTATAAATGCTGTGGTAGAGGCTATGTTTGACCCTCCATGGGTAACCAGGCCTTGAATTGAGTGTTCAAAATATTGTTGAGCTGACTCGGGACTCAATAAGCTAGCCCACATCAAGAGCCTGACGATTCCATATTGAGTAGGCCCTTGTGTGGGCCTACACCATACACTGTAGTTTTTTGGTACAATAATACAAATTTATAGGCAACATTTCAAAGAAGAGGGGGGAATGGCCTAAATCTCCCAATTTTTTAAGAGTGTTGAAAATTTTCTTATTAAAAATTGTCCGTCCGACTTTGACTTGCATGAGTTGGGCCAGGTGCACTCAGGCTTGGGCCCTGGCAAGTTGGGGTCCTTGTTTGACTTCTTAAGCATCGATGAATTCATAGAGAAGAACAAAATTCCCTTTGACCTATACTTAAATTTACAAACCAGCCTTGAAGTCGGTGCAGTGTTTCAAAAAGCTAGGCGCTAGGCGGGCGCCCATAACCTGAGCAGCCCAATAGAAAAAAAAAGAACTCTATAGTCTCTAACAATATAAGTATAATTGGTAGCACAACACTAACGTGGGGAATAGGTTCTCTTTCAACTCAACGGGATGAAGGGCAAGCATCGCCATTACTGGCCTTTGCTAACCTGGAATCACATTTACGACTTGTATCCTAATACGCACCTTCCTCTTTCCTCTTCTACTTTTCCCCTTGTTCGTCTTCCTCCGAAACCTCCTTCGCAGCAAACCAGTAGCCGCCTTGCCTCTGTTTTCCCAAGTAGTTGCTGCCCCCAAACTAGCCAACCCTGTCCCTCCTCTCCCGCAGCCTCTTCCTCTCTTGTACCTCCTTGTCTTTCTCCATTCCTCCCTTTCTGTGTTCCCTCCTCCCCTGCGGGCTCAAAGGCTTACAAAGCCAGGCTTGCAGCCTCCCTCGTGGGTTGCTTTAAGCCTAGAAGGGATGACCTTACAGGTATAGAGATTTGGGCCAAAGGCCAATGGAAAGAGCCTAATATCATTTGCAGTCGCCTTTCCAGCGAAGAGGTCTTCTTCTCCTTCCCATCCTCATCTGGAGCTCAGTTTGCCTTACAGAAATCAGTAGCTCTTTCTTTCAAAGGGGCCTCCTGCTCCATACGACCTTCGTCTCCTGAAGATGGTTCCTTCAAGAAACAACGGATTTGGCTAACCCTTTCCCATATCCCCCTTCATGTGTGGTCACTTGAAACCTTCAGGAGAATAACGGCTGCCTATGGGTCTCTCATCTCCATTCACAAGATCTCCATTGAATCACTCCCCCTGGGAGCCATCCGCTTGCTCTTGGAAGTCCTTGACCCACAACGGATCCCTCAAACAATGTGGCCTGAAGCTGAGGGCCTCTTTTTCCCTGTTTCTACCCCTTGGACACATGCCTCGCCTACCTCCCCCAGGCTCTTGCGGCAGGAGAGTCCTATTCCGGTACCGGAAAACCCAACATCCTGGAGGGTGGTGGCAAGAAGAAAGTGTAACAGTCGTAGGCCTCTGAGACATCCCCATGACTCGGGCTCGCTTCAGTCGGGCTGTCAAAGGCTTAACTCCTCCTTTAAGAGGTTAGTTCAGCAACATGACCTTGACTCGACTCTCCAGACCAAGGGAGTACCACCTGGAACTTACCATGTAGAGTGGCCATCTGATTCGCACCGACCCGGGAAGGAAGTCATCGAGGACTCTAACCCCTCCACCCCCATTCTTCCCACTTCAAGGAAAAACCTGGCCCTTCAGGCTCTTGGACCCTTCTTGAAGTTGACACCCCTAAAGAGGTTCCCTCGGAACCCAACTTGCAACTTTTGGCCCGAAGACCCAACCTGCCTGACTCTCTCTCTTCTCAGCCTCTCGTCTTTCTCTCTCCTTCGCCGCCCTCCACGTGCCCCACCTTTTCACCTACCCCCGACCACCTGGCAGCCGATAAGGCAGTCCCCACCTTCTTATCCCTGACACAGCTGCCCTTCGCAGTCCAGCTGTCCCCTCCTGGGTACGTAACGCTGCCCTTGCCATCACCCCCCATGCCGCCCCCACGCCTCGTGTTGGAGTCCCCTTCACCCCCAGGCCACGTGTCTTTGATTCCTCCGGGAAGCGTGTCCCCTTCGCCGTCTCCCTCTTCCTCCCCTCCCCTCTCACCTTCACTTCCTTCCTCCCTCCTTCCAATAGAAGCTCCAGGAGTCCCAAATGAGTTGAGCTCTTCCCCTCCTCAGCCACAGGTATTCCCTTCTTCCCCCCCTAACCACTCCTCCCCCACACTCTTTCTTTCTCTCCTTTTGGCCTTTTCCCCTGAAGATCTGACTTTCCCCGGCTTGAAGTTCTCGAACCCTGTTCCTCCCAAAGACTCGGTCCCTCTTGAAATAGTTGCAGCTTTCTCCATGGACCCGATCCCTCCCGACCCAGCTTTGCTTTCGGACCTGCTGACCCCCCACATCACCTTTGTCCCTCACCTGGTCCATATCCGTCGCCTCCAAACGATCTAGGTAGTTTGGCCCCCATCCTTCCCCTTTGCCGTTTCCACCTACTCCTCCTTCCACTCCCACCTTTTTCTAGCCACACAGGACTGGGGGCAGCCTGACAGTTAGCCCAACCTTTTGTGCTTTCTTTTCACAGGAGCTTACTTTTGAAAGCTTTTTGTCCATCACTGTAAAAGGGCGGCTCTATAAGCCCTTCTTTTTGGTTTTGTTTGTTCTCACTGCTTTACTAAGCAACCGAGCATTGTTGTATTATCCTTGTATAAACCTGACATCTCTATTTTTTACCAAGTCCCCGCTTGTAGGTGACTGTGGAACTGTGTTCTTGTAATTACTTACTTCTTTAATTCAAGTTAACCTTCTCTCAAAAAAAACAATTTAAGTACAACTATATATTATATAAAATATAAAAATTAAGAATTTAGGGCACAAGTATAACTATATATTGTATAAAATATAAAAATTAGGAATTTAGGGCACATCAAAATTCAAAAGTATACTACACATTAGCACACACTCCATAAGAATAACTATAAGTCGGTCCATATCCAATTAAAACTGAAAATTTATTAACCAAATTACCAACCAAAGTTACCAAATACCAAACCAGTGGAACTACAAATCCACTATCCACAATACACAACCAAGAGGAGAAAAACAAAAATGAAAGAAATATTTGAAGACTCAAAAGAATCTTCTGTTCAAATTTTAATCATCATTCATCATCAGAAAAAGTAGGGTCAGCTGCATTGCATCATATGCATCAGAGTCGTCACCCTCCTCGACATATTAGTCATCCTCCTCTGTCTTTTTTGAATTTGCCTCTTCTTCCTCCTCTTCCTCCACCCTCATCCTCTATGCAGAAGATCTAGTGGCCCTTGGAGGGTCGGCTGATGTCCTTGAAGCATCCATGACCATGTCCCATGTCAATCCTTCATGGCCCTCGACCTCATCATCATCAACCAACCACTCCATAGCATTGTCCATATGTTTTGATTTGAGGGGGTCTCTCTTATATCTCGTAGCAAACCTGTCCTTCAAGAATCGATTATACTTGACATAGACTAGGTCATTGAGCCTCTTTGATTCAAGCTTGTTCCTTTTCTTTGTATGAATCTAACAAAATAAAATGAAACTAAGTAATATAAATATTAAATAATTAAAATAATTAGATATATAATAATAATACTACAAAACAATCAAAACTAGTAACTACTAAAGTACTAAATTACCGATACAAATTACCCTTACCCCCTTCAAAAGTACTTCAATTTTGCTTACAACCAGACGAGGAAGTGGTTAGGTTTAAGATCTGAATGGCCAACTTTTGTAAATTTGGAGAACTACACCCATGTTGGCTCCACCAATTGGTTGCAAAGTTATAGAATAAAATCATAAATAAATAATAGAACTATAGAAATGAAACTGGTTAACTTGAACAATTGAACTTGATGAACTTAAGTTAAGAATATTATTGCCTGGATCAATTTTGGTCCTTTGCCTCATCGCCATTGGACTCTTAAAAGACTTTAATGAGCACTTGTAATTTATCATCTCATCAACACATATAATATATTTGGATCTGGGATTAGCACATATAATTGTGTCATTGTGTGTATATCCTTATCAACATAAAAAAATGCTGGGTTCTAATAATAGCCAGATGCATGCAATGGCCAATGTAGCTGCCTATCCCACTTCTCATCAATAATCTCCCAAACAGACTTATAGCGGTTCTCATCATCATCTAAATTTTGGGCTATCTCTCTCTTGTATTTCTCCATAGCCTCATATTTGTAGCCCATAGAAGCCTCGTCACTATCAACCATGCGAAGGATTTTGACAAGAGGAAAAAATACCTTATGAGTGCCTTCCACCGCTCGCCAAAAAGCCTTAGAAAAGATAATATCTTTCACCTCCTTCCCAACCTGATCCTTGGACTACTTGCTTCCTCTCCAGTTATATGAGGCAAACATCTGCCTCAACTGCACTCCCCTTGAATGTATGCTATCGAGGCATAAGTACCAGGTTGCAAATCTTGTGACCCTAGGCCTCACAATCTCCTTCTTCTTTGTAAATCTACGCATCATGCTGAGGGTGAGATGGTGACTATAAATGAAATTTGTAATTGACTTTGCCTTTTTCACTGCACTTGATATCTCGGTTAAACCGCCAAGAGCCTCAAGTATGAGGTTTATACAATGTGCTGCACATGGTGTCCAAAAGATTCTAGGGTAAGCTATGCGCAACAAATTAGCAGCAGCAACATTAGGAGCAGCAATGTCTGTGACAACCTGTACAACAAGATGCTCCTCAACCTCCTTGATTCCCATCTCTATAATTTGGAATATGTAATGGGCATCATGACTATAATCAGAGGCATCAATAGGCCTCAAAAAAATAGTCCTTAAAGGACAATTTACAAGAAAATTCATCTGACTTTTTCTCTTCATGTCACTCCAAGCATTAGTCAGAATAGAAACTCCATATTGAGCCCATGTATCCTTCTTAACTTCAACGACATCCTTCGTGACACTCATTACTTTTTTCAAAAGAGGCCTTGAAAGCTCATATGGGGTTGGGGGTTTCATCTCAGGCTTAAATCGGCTAATTGCATCTACCAAGGCGTAGAAGCTGCTTAGGCGAGCGGTATTGAAAGGAATGCTCACCTCATAAAACCATGTAGCAATATAAAAAGTAGCTTTATCTCTCTCTTCCTTCTTCATAATATTTTCAATGGTGGTTTGCTTCTTTGTTTTCTCTCCTGCAACCTCAGGGTCAGGCCGAGGCAAAAAACTATCCATAGGGCCTCTAACCTCGAGGCTTCTTACATCCACAACCAGAAGCAATTACAACTCCCTTTTGCTTCTCCCTAATAATGGATTGTTCTACCTCCTGACATCCCTCCCCGTCCTCGTTACTATCACCATCATCATCATAATTGACGCGAACCCAGACCTAATCGCTGCTATGGAGGCATGTTTCTCTTCTTTTTTCATTTTTACAAGACTTAGAAAATTGTTTATTTCCTCTTTAACAGCATCAGGAGTTTTTTTACATGGGGCAACATCTCCGCTGATACCGGTAAGATGTTTCTTGAACTGGTTTATGCCCCCGTTTGTATCTTTTTCACAAAACTTGCATCTTATGCAATTTTTATCATTAGGATCTAGGTTGTAGCCATATTTCCAACCCGTATCATCATTCCTATTAGATCCCGAAGAAGACATCTCAAAATAATACAACTTTTGCAATCAATAAAAAAAAAAAACACTTACTTTGATTACTCGATATCCAAACTTCCACCTCAAAGATGCTTCTAAGGACCCAAAATTTTCTAAAAAACCCTCTAGTAAATTTATAAAACATAAAAAATCAAATTTACTATCAATGGGTGATGTTTTGATCAATTTCTCATAACTTACCCTTCGATCCTAAAAATCACCAAAAATTAGTTTTTTGAGGTTTTTCTATCTCTAAAATGGGCTCTTATGTGTTTTAGGTTTCAAATAAACCTAAAAACCACAAATTTGACCCCTTAGTATTAAAAAAAACGACAAAACCCTAGCAAATGAGTTTTCCGCCTTTGGGCGGGGCGTAGGCCCTGGGCAGGCCGCCAAGGCGGGTTACAGGGCGCCTAGGCTGGTGCCCAGGGATTTTTGCCTTTTTTGGCGCCTGAGCCTTGGCGATGCGCCCAGGCCCTTGCGATGCGCTTAGGACCCCAGTGATGCACCCAGGCCCCGGCGATGCGCCCAAGCCCCGGCGATACTCCCAGGCCTCGGCGATGTGCCCAGGCCCGGCGATGCGCCCAGGCCCCCTGGACCGCTTAGGCGCTGGGCGATTCGCTGGCGATGCGCCCAGGCCCCCTGGAACGCTTAGGCGCTGGGCGATTCGCTTTTTGAAACACTGAGCCGTTGTCTCTATGCTTAGAGCATCATTGCACAAACAACCACAAGACATACACATGTGTGTTTATATTTGTATGTATCTTGTCTCCTCCATACCTAGATAAACATGTATAATTTTCATTGTCATGTGGGTAGGCCTCAGAAGGAAATCTTGTCCTTGACTAACTCCATTGTCACATTTTGTCCTTCCATCTAATTTCTAATAGCCCAATTGCATCTACTCATTTCAAGCTCTCAAATTCACAAATGTTACTTTCACAATCATGGTTGTTACTTATTGGTCAAGTAGAGGAAAGGGATTTAAACTTAAATACTTGAGCTCATTGGCAGTGGAATGTTAATAATATCATCATCTTCATTATTATCATCTGAGCCTTATGCAAACTATTTTGGGGTCGGCTACACAAATTATGTTCTTTCATTTTGCTCTTCAAGGGCCATACCCTCAATCAACCATAAGTTGCCATATCTCTTCTCGCTACTTCCATCTGTATCCTTTTGGGCCTTCCCCTTGCCCTTTCGAGCCTTAACTTGAACTGAATTCCCCTCCTAACTAGTGTTGTTCCAGTTCGACGCTGCACATTGTTGGATTACCCAAGTTTATTTTCTTTCATCTTATCACCTATTGGAGCCACCCCTAAGTTCCTTTGGATGTTTTTGTTCTAAATTCAATCCTTTCTTATCTTCCCACTTATCCATCTCAACATCCTCATCCAGCCACACTCATTCTATGGAAACTTTGTTTCTCGACCGCCCAACATCTGTCTCATAAAGCATGGCTGGTCTTAGGGCCATCCTGTAGAACTTTCCCTTCAATTTCATTGGTATGCGACGATTACTTAAGACTCTGGAAGCACATCCCCACTTCATCCACCTAGTTCTAATTATATACGCGATATCTTCTTCAATCCCTCCATTCACATGGATTATCGACGGAATAATCTATTTTAGGTGGTTCTTGGCCATCGTTATTAACGAATTCCTCTTTTCTACTTGTATTATTACTAAACTTGCATTGCATGTATTTTGTCTTAGTTCAACTACTTTTAAAACTTCTAGATTCTAGAGTATCCCTTCAAAGTTCCAACTTTGCATTGACACCATCTCTAGTCTCATCAATCAAAACTATGTCATCTACAAACAACATACAATATGGCTACCTCATCCTGTAGATGCGTAGATAACTCTTCCATAACCAAAACAAAATTTTATAGGCTCAAACTGACCCCTGATGAGGCCTAGTGCCACTGAAAATTCACTTGTCCCTCCACTAGTTGTCGTCTTGCTAATTAGTGCTCCCTCGTACATATCTCTTACCATGTCAATATATCTTCTAGAGACTCCTTTCTTTCCTAACACCCACCAAATTAAGTCGTTAGGTACCTTATTGTATGCTTTCTCTAAATCAAAATACCATGTGGGGGCCTTCTCTCTTATCTTTAAACTTATCAATGAATTGCCCAAGAAGGAAAAGGAAAATAGCCTCAATCGTTGACCTCCATGGTACACTTTTTTCATGTTGTAGTTGTTACTCAATCACTCTCTCCTACAACTTCATAGCATGGCTCATAAGTTTGATCTATTGATAGTTTGTAGAATTATGTATGTCTCCTTTATTCTTGTAAATAGGTACCAAAATACTTTTTCTCCATTCGTTTGGTATTTTCTTTGTTCTCAAAATATTGTTGAGCAACTTGGTCAACGGAATATGCCAATCTCTCTCAAACCAGAGAAAGGACGGTTGTGTTATGTTGGCAGCCATCGTAAAACTTTTTCGACATCATTCATGGAGTGTCAATAGTATATTCCATGAAAAAATGACAAGCACTTCTATTCAGTAAAAATGACAAAGATTGACGGATATATTGGAAGACATCTTGCTTCGGTTACCTGATGTCGAAATAGGTTATTTTATTTTGGAATTTTTCCATGAGCTAATATTGTGATCTACTAACCAACTGAGATAAAGTGTCTTGACTCCATTAGTGCAGTTATAAGTTGCACCCATTTTCATTATCTTCTGTGGAAACTGGGCCTATTTGAGAATGCTTACAGCAGCCAAACGGCTTCAAGTATTTTGTTCCTTTTTTTATTTTTGTCTTCATCTTGTCATGATGATGTAATTAGTCTATTTTTTTTTCTTTTTTGAAGGTAATTGGTCATTGAAATAGAGGTTGATTACATCTTCGGAATGTCATTTTGTATCATATCTATTGATCCTTCTTACATAGCTCTTATTTCTAATTATGATTCATTTGATGAAGAGCAGTTTATCATTTCTACAGATCCTTCTTACTTAGCTCTTATTTCTAATTATGCTTCATATGATCAGCAGCAGTTTACGCCTCATTTTGGGAGTCAAATGGGTGATAAACATTTGATGGAGACACTGGCAACTTCTAATCCACAACGAAAGACAAAAATTGTGTGTACAATTGGTCCTTCTACAAGTACACGTGAAATGATATGGAAGTTGGCGGATGCAGGAATGAATGTTGCACGTCTGAATATGTCCCATGGAGACCATGCTTCTCACCAAAAAACCATTGATCTTGTTAAGGAATACAATGCTCAATCCCAAGATAATGTGATTGCAATAATGTTGGATACCAAGGTACAAGGAGTTTGTTTCACACAGTTCCCCAATCGATTAATGTCTTCTGTGCTGTGTTTTAATGTATCACTTGACTAGAAACAATGTGCTCTATCTATCTTGTAGAGAGTTTTACTTGTTACCAAGATTGCTTTTTCTTTCGCAGAATGTATCTCTTGTGGATTTTGATAAGTTTAAGAACAAAAAATTTGCACTTTTTTATATGTTTTAATTGTATTTTAAACTATAAGGACGTACTTTTTTTCTTGAAGTACTGGTTTTATTTGCACCCTCCAGAAATTCATGCTTAGGCGTTCAGCGGTCATTACAGTCTGCTATTGAACCTCTAGAAAATATTCATGAAAGAACTGGTGATTTACTTATTGATAAAAATTTCTGCTTTGATCACTAAGATATGATTATTCTTTTCCCAATATACATTATTATGCCCAAAACTTGGCTGTCCACCTCATTTTCTCTTGATATCATGAGAATGCATGAGTTCCACTCAGGATAGACTTTCAAATGGGATCGTTTAAGAAACCAAATTTCCCTCTTGTTTACATGCGATTCCAAGACTCATCAGACTACTCAAAGTCCGAGCTGTCTTAGATCGTGTTCAAACTTAACTTTTAAAACACCGGAAGAGGTAGGTTCTATCAAATTCAGATCCACAAAGAAATCAGTCTGAAAGACCTATCCTTCACAGGTCCTTGGCCGGGTAGGTTTGTTTAGAACATGGAAAACACATTAGTAAAAAGGGAAATAGAAACAACAAATTTAAATTGATTTTCCTAAAGAAACAAATAATACCCAGGAAACTAGGGAAAGATAGTAAAGAAAATAGAAAAAAGGAAAGAATGCACCTGGAGGCTGGGCTCTCATGCCTGGATTAGCCGACAAAGATTGGGTCTTTTCTTCTTGATCCTCGAGGTTGCAGATCCATATAGTAAGAATGTAAGCCGTGGGAGAGTAGTGCCTGGGAATTTACTTCTAGGGATTTTGATTGAATGAAAAGATTGTTTCATCTTTGAATTTTTGCTGGAAAAGGTGTCCAAGATCTAGGGATTCATGAGTCTAGGTCTAGGGCTTAGATTTTAGTATAAGAGGCCAGGGTTAGTGCTTGATCTAGGGTTTTTTGGTCACTGTGGATCAATACCAAAGGGCTGGGAAAAGGCCTATTTATAGCAAAAAGTACCCAAAAACAGGAAGCCGGTGGCCCGAGATCAATTTAGACTGTCCGTGTGTTAGCGACACGGTATGAGTCACTTGGTCTTCTAGGCCAAGCAACACTCTTCGCATCACTGACAGCTGTTTGGCTCTAGACAGCACAACCTTTTGCTGGCTCTTCGGGTCTGTATATTACTGTTTCAACAAATATGAAATATTTTCTCTCTTTTCCTCATGAAACCTGCTTGTTTTGGGCGACATTCTTCCTAAATTGATATTTTGGAATAGCTTGGGAATATTAGGAAAATTCCTAAGCTGGATCATGGTCTGGGTATGGACTATGGTTCAGTGTGTTCTATGGTGTATTGAGATAGTATGCTTTAGGGTTCAGGATTGAAGGTTTTTGGGAATTCCCTTAGCCAAAATTCAAGGTGGGTGTCTGAACTGCTCTTTGGAAATGCATTGCTAGTTGCCCTAAGGAGCTGTTCTCCTCCTCTCCGGAACCCATTCCCCCACCTTTACGAAACACTTTTGCCGGTACTTCTATTTCAAAGTATAACTTTTTTTAGTAAGGTAGCCCCTTTTCTCATTTCATGTTGGGTGGTTTCCTAATCATCCTTACTCTCAAAGCTGAATAGGGATAATCTGAGGTCAAGATTCAAGAAGACCTCAACCTATCAAATGAGCTTATGTATGATTTCTATGGATTAAAATGGTGGCTTTGATGAGAGATTGTCAGATAAAATCTTGATCCCTTTCAGCCCTAAAACCCTTGTCCACAACCAGGATTTAAGATAGATTGTAATAAACATTCATCAGTCATTACATTCTGCTGTTGATCCACTAGAAAATATTCATGATAGGAGTGTTGCTTTATATGTGCTCATTCCTGACATTCAAAGGAATAAGTTGAGGGCTGATATAAACACGACCACCAAAGGTCAATGATGTAGTTTGATCCAAATACTCTTTGGTTGGATTGACTCGTATTGCTTATCCACAGTCAACTTCTGATACCATTTTTATACATTAAATTTGACTTTATTTTTGATGGAATTGAACTAAAAAATACTCAAATACAGTTTCCTGCATGCAAAATGTGCTATAGGAATGATTTTATAGAGGATACTTGCGCAATTAACCCTCAAAATCGTCTTTGTCCTTATGCGCAATACATTAGACATAAATATGGCCTCTGTCCTTATGTGCAGTCAACTTCGGCAAAATGGTATTGTTGTCATAAAACATCAGATGTACACATGAAACGACTTATGAAATACCCTAAAGCAATTTTCATCTTATAGTAGATGTTGACTTGCTGAGGCTGTGGGCATAGCTCTTTGGGGTGAACCGCATAAATCGTGTGTCATTGCTGTATGCCATTTGTGTTTTCTTCATCTCACATTTTCTTTGTCGTTGTATTCATGCATTTTACATTTTGGCCTACCATGTACACAAGCTTAGGTGAGATCCCAGTATTTGGGTTTACTTATTTTTGAGGTGAGGGGTTCTTGCTGATCCTACGATTGTGATGTAGGAAAACTTGAAGAAACCAAGAAAAGTCAGTAAGAAACACACAATTTTGGAGAAACCCTAGGGTTTTCTCCTACCTAAGGCTCAATCCTTAGGCTTCCTTTATAAGACAATCTTTCTTTTTTTAAAGAGGAATCCACAAATGACTCTCCTGCCCATCCATGCCCTTATTTATATTGAAAAATTATTGTTTTCGATAATATTTGTCTATACAATTTAACCTTTGACCAAAAGGTTATAACTTAAATATAACTTGAAACTAAACTTCTTAACTTTAATTAAATAAATGAAATAAATAAATAAATAAATCTAAAATAGCCTTAAAAACAAAAAAAAAAAGCACGAAAACTATTTTTTTTGGTCTTCTTGTTCTTCTTGGAAGCCCTCCTTGAGTTTTCATCCTTCAAATATGATCGAAAATCAAGAGGAATCTGTGGCTCCCATGGAAGATACTCGTGGCTACTTGTGCTCTGGTCTCCACCATTTTCCCTGAGTTGAGGAGAACTCGCCCTCGAGTTCACATCTTCATCTTCATGCACCTCCATACCATGATACTCTGACAGATAAGCAATGTTGAATATGTAAGAAGTCTTCATGTGTGAAGGCAAAGCAACCTTGTAAGCATTGCTGCCCATCTTCTTCAAAATCTTGAATGGTCTTGCCTTGCAATCATTCAGCTTACTGTATTTTTCCACTGGATGTCGTTCCTTCCTGAGATACACCATTACCCAGTCTCCCACATTAAACTCCTTGAAACGATGATGCTTGTCCGCTGCTTCCTTGTATTTGGCTGTATTGGCTTCTAGACTAGCACGCACATGTTCATGCACTCCTTTCATTCGTTCAACCAAGTCCTCAACAATAGCATGACCCTCCCCATTGACCTGGACATGAACCAAGTCAAGCGAATGAGTAGGGTTTCTCCCATATACCACCTCGAAAGGACTCTTACTAGTAGATCTATGGCAAATACTATTATAGGAAAACTTAGCTGGAGGCAGTGCTAGGTCCCACTGTTTCTGCTTTTCTCTCACAATACTTGTCAAAAGATTGCCAAGAGTACGGTTTACCACTTCAGTCTGGCCGTCTGTTTGCAGATGATAAGCGCTACTAAACCGTAACCGAGTGCCCAATTTCTTCCACAAAGTTCCCCAAAAATGACTGAGAAACTTCGTATCCGGATTTGAAGTTATTGTCTTTGGAACACCATGCAACCTCACCACCTCTTTGAAGTACAAGTTAGCAACATGTGTGGCATCCGGAGTCTTCTTGCAAGGTATAAAATGAGCCATATTTGAGAATCTATCCACCACCACGAATATAGAATCTATACACCTCTTTGAGTCCTTGGAAGTCCCATAACAAAATCCATGCTAACATCCTCCCAAGGTGCATTAGGAGTAGGAAGTGGAGAATAAAGCCCGGTATTATGTCGTTGACCTTTTGCCAGTTGACACGTACGACACCACTCAACGAATCGCATAACATCTCTCTTCAATTTTGGTCAGTAGTACTTAGACTCCACTAATATTATGTTTTCGTCTCGACCAAAATGTCCACGAAGACCTCCCCCATGAAGCGATGCTATTAGGGTTTGTCTAAGGGAACCCACAGGAATACAGAGGCAATTTCCTTTAAAGAGAAATCCATCTTGAATAAGAAAATCCCCAACAACTCCACTGCGACACTGGTCCCATATCTCCTTGAAGTCGTCATCATCTGCATAATGGTCCTTCATAAATTCGAACCCAGTAACAACAGTCGCCATGGTAGTTAATAGAGTTGGCCTTCTACTCAAAGCATCTGCCACTCTATTCTGACTGCATGCCTTATGCCTTATGCCGAATTCACACTTTTTACGATTCAAATACAATTGTGGTTCCCGTAGCAAGTCAAACACCAACCATAAGTGCTCCATATGCACCTGCTCACCAGTGCTGTACACTAGAATATCATCGAAGTATGCCACCACGAATTTCCCAATAAAAGACTTGAACACCTGATTCATCACCCTCATAAAAGTACTGGGCGCATTGGAGAGGCCAAATGGCATCACCAACCACTCATAAAGGCCCTCTCGTGTTTTGAATGCAGTCTTCCACTCATCTCTTGGTCGAATACGGATCTGATGGTACCTACTCCTTAAATCTATCTTTGAAAACAAAGTAGCACCAGCCAACATATCTAACATATCATCTAGATGCGGAATTGGGAAGAGGTACTTGATTGTGATCTTATTAATTGCCTTGCCCTACTATCCACACACATGCACCAAGTCCCATCCTTTTTAGGCGTCAACAAGGGCTGGACAGCAGAAG